GCAGGAATTTCAAGTGGGTTTGAAATTAGGCCACTTGAGTTCACCCAACCCCATTTACAAGGGAGGGGAAAATCTAGAACATTAGGGTTAGATAATTCCACTGTTTTGAAGTAATGGGAAAACAAAAAGAGGAGAAGTTGATTTCAGATGACCTGTTGCACTCTTGCAATGAAGTAGCATTTTGGTTAGGGAAATAAAGCAATCTGTTTTGTGATGTGCACCAGTGCCTGGTTCTAGTTCTGTACTTTAATACTAAAACTTGTGATAAGGTAGTGATCCTGTGCCTGTCAAATCCATCTATTGCTTTTTCAGCATGACTTCCCCTATTGCAGCAGGCATATCTTGTAACATTATACTTCCTCATCTCCAGTTTGAGGGAAGGATCAGTCAGGAATGGCAAGCTATCTGAGTGAGAATATTGCCTTCTCATTTTTGTTCAGTTTTGTTGTGCAGGTTTAGAGAAGATGCCATTAAAATCTGCTTGAGAAATGAATATTACTGCAGTATTTCATATTAAAAATGAGTGTTGCAGTTACACGAACTAGTGTGAAGTGGCAAATTGCTTGCAAATACCCTGTGAACAGTGTTCTAATTAGGGATGTTAAATATCACTTAATTGAATAATCGATTTAACCGCATGAATTCTTATCAGTCACTTGACTATTCTATAGTCCCCGGGGATGGGGCAGGCAGCCAGTGTGTGCTGGCCCCACTCCCAAGGAACCCCCTGCCGCTCTATGCTGCTGCCTCTGATTTAGAGGGAGGTGCCAGGGAGGAACTGGTCTGTGAGGGGAGCTAGTTTTAAAAACCAGCTCCCCTCACGGACTGGCTGCCTGCCACCCTGCACTGCTGTTCAGGGTTGGGGCTGAGCTCCCAGACTTGGCACGAGCTGGAACTGAGTCAGGCTGCCTGCCTACCTGGCTCCTAATACACTTTAAATGCCGAGCTGCAGCAGGGATAGATCTGACCCAGTGCTGAGCTGGGCTGCTGGTGGCCAGCCAGCTAAAAAATGTACCGGTAGGGGATCAGGAGGAAATGTATATAGTCTGTAGCACGAACCGATAAGCTTTTGCTTATCGGTTAATCGACTACACTATTATATCCCTAGTTGTAATGGTAACCATTGCACTTGATTCCCACCTTCCCAGGTATGACACACATACTTGTGCCCATGAGTGCTGATCCAAACATTTCTGTTTATTGAGGTGTGATGGGGAAGAGGCAAGATCAGCTCCCCAAAGTACTCACATTGCAGTCATGTAGTCTGCTCTGCCAATAATACCTCCCAAAAAATGAACTCCAAGCTTATTCGTTTCTATCGATCCCTGTCACTGTGGCATGTACAGATCTCTTCTATCTAGCCTATAGTATCTGCATTAGTATCTGCATGCTAGGTTACTAATACACATTTATGTACTTAACTTACATTTTAAAAAGCCCATAATTATACGTACTGAAGTAATGCTGATCTGTTGCCTCTGTTTATATGCCTGTCAATGTAGTAGTCTTTTTTTGTGTGTGCTCACATCTCCAAGAATAGTAACCCACCATTCCTGTATATTCAGGATCCTGTTGGACCAGCAATTAGATTTTTACTGCATGTTTCAGCAGTATTTTTTTTTCTAAAATGTCAGCAGTAGATGTAGCCTGGCCCCAAACCTCCCAGAATTAATCTGATCTTTTAAAAAGTAGAGAATATGGAGGTCTCACCATAATCCATTATTTAGAA